CGAACCGATTTCTGCGTGCAGAAATCTGTTAAAAAATGTTTTAGTACAGCTTTGGTAAGCCGCACTGCTTGATGGATTGTCAGAGCATTACGGCTGCCTAGTGAGGAGCTTTGCGGAGTAATTTGGGTCCAAAACTCCGTCAACTTCAGGTCCCAAAGTAAAACAAACACTAAGAGTTAAAAACGGTCTAAATTCTTTCATCTTTAATTAAATCATCAGCATTGCTGCTTTATCGGGTGTAACAATTAAGTTTAACATCCATGCGTCCATGAAAACAGAATTTGTTAAATTTAATGGCGTTAGAAGTTAACAGGAAGTTAGCTCGCTATTTTACACCTAAACATTTCATACCATGTTCTGACTGAGAGATTTTTTAAACTAATTAAAACGTACAGCTCTGCTACCAGTTCCGACATAAATGAAGACAGAAAACTAAACAGCAGTGGCGTTTGTAGTAGGGCTGGGTATCGTCACTGATTTCTAGAATCGATTCAATTCCGATTCACAAGGTCCCGAATCGATTCGATCCACGATTCGATTTAATTCGATTCGATTCATTCGATTTGAATCTGGGAAATTTTGACAGTCAGAAATATTATAATTCAGATCAGTACATTTACATATTTTTGTATCTATAAAAAGGAAGCTGACACACGCAAGACTTTATCAAAGGTGTGAGCATCACAGCAGATGCCTTTGTGTCAAAGTAGCTGAAGATAAAACACAGAAAAACATGAAGGTGATTTTCCTGGCCTGGGATTTTATAAAAATATTCTGCAGTACATCAAAAACGAAAGAAAACCATTAATCAACATATGAACATTACCTCTGAAGTTACAGCGGTTTTATTAGAGACACGGCTAAGCGTTTTGCATTTTGCATAATTTTAAAAAGTTTAAATTTGTTCAGTATTGAACGGCAGAAATTAGGTTTTCTTTTGGAAGTATAAAACGAAAAAAAAAAAGCAGACAAATAATGAGAAAACAGATTTAGACGGGAAACTGTTCTTGAAGTACAGAGAGAGAGAGAGAGAGAGCTGTGCATCGGGTGGAAGCAAAACAGTAAAAGTCAGAGTGAATTCATGACGATGTTTATGTGAAGCGTAGTTTGGATCTTCTTTTGCTGCTGGTTCGGTCAATATTGTTTGGAGAGACATCAAACTAACAGCTTTAGAATCAGCGCATAAAGGGCGTGAACACAAAGCGCGGACCCGCCGACAGATCAGAATCAGCGAGCTGTCGGCTTTCAGCCCCGACTGTGAGAAAGGCGACATCTAACTGATTCTGATCCGCGGGTTGCGCTGTGTGTTTAAGTCTTTGTGCAGAATCTCGTGTTCCTGCTCTCATTTACTGTCTTAGCTGTTTGGTGGTTGTTGAAATTTTGTGAGATTTCACCAGAGATTCTGGCATTTCGGGCAAAATAAATTTATATTAAAAAATCGATTCAGGATTTTAATGAATCGATTTTACGTTATCCAAGCCAGAATCGATTTTAATCAATAAATCGATTATAAAAACCCACCCCTAGTTTGTAGGGTTACTGAAGTTGGACTACCTGGTATATAATGTTGTGCTACGTGATTGCTAGTGACACAGCTATGTTAGCATAACATTAGCACAGTGAAGCTGGAGGATGGATGCCAACTTTTTTCCACTTGATAAAAGTTAACGTGCAGGATTCTGGTGGTTAGGGACAAATGCAATCGCATAGCAGGATGCTGTACATCAGTCAGGAGAACAACTGAGATTATTCATCCACAATACGAGGTTAGTTATTAATATACTGCAACAACATGGGAATAGAACAGCTGCGAGAGACATCAACATTAATGTATCAATGTTACGGAAGTGGAGGAAGCGCAGTTTTTGGCTTTCCCCATATTTCAAAAAGTGCTTCATCTCTTTGCTATGACTGTCGCCCGCCATAATTTGCAGATGATAATGGTTTTAGCCGCTGCGATGCTTTTGACCAAAACAGGCGCAGCTTGATGACATCATCAACATGCGCTATCGCGATAGAGCGATATAGTCAAAATCTCTATCGTTGGCCAAATTTATATCGTTTCTATCGCCCACCCCTATACAACAGGAGCCATCACTCTACTCTACAAACTTTCTCTGGTTTCCAAATTGAAATTCTGTACACATATCAGCCACAATGCCTGACAGCATATTCTTTACAAAGCCTTAAACAGGATTTAAACTACAGCATTAGCTGCCTCCGCAGGTAAGGCGGGTGTTTATTCCTGCAGTTTTTGTGCAACACTGTTCATAGCCTTCATTAAATTCATGGCTCTGACCAGGTCACTGTAGCTGATTGCCAATTATGCACTCCAAGGTAATAGACTAACAGGTTTAGTTCTTGGCATGATGAATATTTTCCACTGATTACATTTATGAGCCATTTGGTTTGCAGTAGTTTTCAAACATCTGCCTGCTGTGTGGATGCTATAAAGACATGAGGCAACACCTTGAAAGCAAATATTCTACTATATACACGTTTTATTCACCCTTACTTTAAACTAACTCTCAACTTCTAGTTATGCAAAATGTTCCCTCCGTACGCTTTCTAAATCAGTCACACTAGGCAGAAAGCGAAACCTGCACTAATTAATGCAAATTTAGTATTTAATAATAAAGGGCAAGTTGAATAACCTGCCCACACTCTGTGACTATGTTCCCACTGTAGTTCATGCTGTTACATCCTTAGCACGAGTTAATACGCGAGTTACATGATGACCTGAGTCAGTGGAATTATAAAAAAATTCAGTGCCTACACATGAATACAGAAAAATAGGAACAAAAAGGAAAGATGAGGCTTGAAGAAAGGCCTCTCCGAGTTCAGCAAAAAACAGAATAAAACAAACACAATATTGTAAGTATTGTCATGAAGTTTGTTTGTTTTAATCATCTGAAACGAAGCCTAATTTCAGATGGTGTCCGTGATGGAAGAAAGATGTTATGAAGAACATGAGTTGAATAATTGACAAATCTCTGCCTAAATTCCTCCGTTGTGAGCTCTGAACATATAAGGCCATCTTCACTCAACACGCTAATCCAGAGATTATGAAACTGTCTGGTGTTTACCTCAAAATGATGTGAACTGTGCAGCAGTTCCAAATAATTTCCTATTTTCAAGGATTTCTAGCGGACCAACTACTAGCGTCTCACTTTATCCCATCTCACATTAGTAGGAGGCCTGACAGCCTTGGAGGGACACACCAGAATCAGATGAGCATCCCACTCTAAACACAAGCTGGGAAGTAATCCCTTTTGACTTTGACAAACAGCCAGCACTTGCTTCCCAGCATATTATTCTAAGGAGGACTTCACTCTCCAAATTGCTGTTATTAGCCTGTTTGGATTAAATGGCTATAAAATTGAAGAAATCTGTTTCTTAATGCACCAAACTGCTCATGTGGGTCTTTTCCCCCCCATTTAACTGTAAGAGATGTAGATTGAATGGAAAACACAGACGCCAAACATTTAGCTAAGTAAAATAATAATCCTATCGAGCTAGACTTTGATTCCTATAGATTTACATGAATAATTTTGCCAAACTACATTTATGATGTGTAGAGCCAGAACTAAGTGTGGGGCATCAGGAGAAACAAGAGCAGCCAACTACTCGGTGAGTGTTTTGTAATCTGATGTTATGTTTGCACACAACAGATCCTATAAAGCAACAGCAAACAGTCAGATTTTTGTCCAAAAGCATGCTGTGACTTATATTTGATGAAAGATCCGGAGTAGTTTTAGTGTTCGCCGTACTTCAAATGTGTTACACTTAGTAACGCACACTTGTTCAGTTAAATCTCTTTACACCATCAAAGACTTACTTTTCTGATATCAAATGCTATCTTTTATTGATAAAGTTTTATGCTGTAATTTGTGGGCTTTGATACATTGCTGATTACAATTCATCTCCCACTTATGCGATCCGCTTTGATGTAGGCTCCCTCTGCATGTATCCAGCTGGCCAAATCAACAGAGACAACAAGTAAATAATTTGGATAAAAACAAACAGAATGTGCAGGTTGGATACTTTATGCATGAACGAGCTTGAATCTGATTGTTTTTGGCAATGACCACAAAAATATTCTTTTGTTTATTTGAAAAAATATGCCCAGATCATACGGACAGAGTTGGGCTATGAAATTCTTTAAATGCACTATAATCTGGTTAAAGTGATAATCATCAAGAGTTTCTGAGAAACATGGGGGGATTAAAGTCCCCGCAGTCTTAGATTGCTTTTTTTTCCTACATCAGACAGCGTGACCTGAAGCCTAATGGTCAGAAATAACCGCAGGATGAAGGAGGTAGCTTCCAGAGATGGGCAAAGATTTTTCAAAAAGACCGACCACATCCCACTCACTTGGCAGGATGTGCATGCTATTATGAAACATCGAAGTCTGCCTTCTCTTTAAAAATGTGATTCCGATGTGTCATATTTAAATGATGTACCATAATTCATTTAAAAAACAAATGCAGCAGTTCTCTGAATGAGAAAGGATGTAGCCCAGTATTTGGGTGAATTAAAGCCTAACATCCAGCTCTTGTTCAAATAGACTGCTCTGACATTTTGCTGTTGTCACATAGTGGGACTACATTACAGGCCTTTATCTACTGCAGGACTGATGTGAACACATTAGTCTTCACCTTTGTATCACCTTGAGCCTGTGACCTGTAGTTAACTGTGGGTGACTGTTTGGCTCAAATCCTTTTCACCAAGATTATTTTACTGGCATGCAATTTCACTTAAAGTCCTGCCCTTTCCAGTTTTTTAACCCCTTTCTAAAAAGAATGATTTAAAAAGAAAACTAAATACTGCTTTTTAAGATGGCAATTTTCTGCTTTCTGAAAACCCGAGACACAGAGGGGAAAAAAAGGTTTAAGAAAAAGAAATAAAAGAGCATGTCTGCTGCATAGGTCATGTCAGGCTATATGTCTCTTCGAATATGGGCAAAGAGAGTGTGTGTGCGTGAATTTCTACAATCCTACCTCTAAGTAGACAACCCAGGGCATGACAAGTGTGGCCACCAGAAGGTCAGCGACAGCCAGGCTGACGATCAGGTAGTTTGTGGTGGTCTGCAGAGCCTTTTCCCTGGACACAGCCATACACACCAGCACGTTGCCGAAGACGATGACGAAGATGAGCAGAGTAAGCAGCATGGCGTAGTAGTTGTAGGGGTGCTTCTGCTCTTGGTCTGTATCGTTGAAGCTCCATGTTCCATTGTCATAGAAACTGTCATTGTAGGCATACTGGGTAAAGACATCCATTAGCTGTGAGTGACAAAGGCCAAGAATGGGCCCTGCAAAATATGCAAAAGGAAAGAAATACTTTATTAATGTTGTATACATTTAGGGTTTGCCGACTGAGAAATAAAAAGCTACAGGATGACATCTGAGGTTAAGTTTTCAAGATTTTGATACAGGTTTATCTTGTAATGGAAATGTAAAATTAATATCTTTCCTCAGACACTGTACTCCAGTTCAAAGCAAAAACAGACCTTCGAAGTGTTTTGCTAAGTGCATTCCTTAGTAGGTACTTAGCCATCTTTGGCTGCAGTTAGAGCATCAAACTTCGTGTGGATTTATCTAACAAGTCTAACACATCGATTTTCTTGGTAGAATTGAAACCAATTTTTTGGTTTCTTTTGTGTTTTTTAACTATTATATTTATTTACCTTTGTTTTAAAAAAAAACCTGACAAGATGTTAAGAACATTTGATGGCAGAAATATCAACAGCTAAAAGGGCACCTGCACAAATTGGAAACCATTTTAACTAACCACTAGTTATGTACCATAAGAACACACATACAAGCATATGGGCATTATATAAACATAACACATGTAATTAAGAGGCAACATCATCAAGATAAACAACAGAAAGACATCAGAGAAGCAGATAAATAGGAAAAAAAAACACACCAAAAGAACAAAATGCAGAAACATTAGCAGAAAAAGTTAAGGGGGTACTGGCAGGTTGGGAAACAGCTGCAAAAGTGGCAATATATGGAGTGATCCCTATTATTTTAGTTGAGGATGACTTTGTTCAGTTAACAGTTTTTTAAAATTTAAAGAGAAAGAAGAGCAGTGATCTCAGTGACACGGTAAAGGTATGAAGAGCACGAACTAATGCATATTACAACAGGTTCATGAGTTTAACCACTTACCAGAGAAATACAGAGTATGAAAAGTAAGAATATCTATCTCCATAGTTCACCGTTGTGTGCTGACCGGCGTTAGTCTAACACAAGAATGGTCTGTTTATCCATCAAAGCTAAGGTGGAGAACAATCTGTTTGGGAATCTTTAGATTGTAGCCTGCTGACATGATGTGAGAAGGACATGGTGATCTATGATAAACCCTCAAATGCGACAATCTTTCAGGCTACAAGGGGGACAGAAGCCTTCCTACCAGATCACACAACATCGTCTTGGTAGTGTTTGGAGTAGAGGCCCTGACGGCTGAAGTGGAATAAGTGCTGCATCTGACAAGTGACTAATGGCATTAAGAACTGTTTATCGGTGTAAAAGTTACCAGGACCATTCACACAGAAGTAAAAGTGGATATAAAAAAATCCGCAAACCTTGTTGTGAGCATGAACTATTATCTATATATTGAACTATATCGATTGACCTCTTCAGTCTGCATCCATCCATTTTCCAGTGACAACAGGCTCGTGCTAGCGACAGACATACAGACATACAGCATGTAAACATTACTGCATCCTCTCAGCTGAGCTTTGATGGATACCATTTTGACTGACATATCAGACCAATGTATTCTGCCATGTTTATGGCTGGTACTTCTACACATCCCTATAACACCCAACCTGACCTAAAGAGACCCTAGTGTCTCCCACTAGGGTGGGAATACAAAATTATGTAACACTAAATACAAAATTATGTAACTGTGTTGGATAATGTTAACTTCCACCAAGTTCCTTCCACTGTTCTGAATAAAATATGAGAGGAGCACTTTTTAGCATGATGTTGGTAAGTATGCAACCACCAGCCACAACATCATTTGTTATACACCATGAATGCTAGCCGTGAGGACACTGAAAAGTTATTTTAGGGCATGGTTGCACCATGGAAGGAGACTTCTTCCCTGGTCCACTGTGAGGGAAGACATCATATATGCATTATTAATAAGAGAAACAGATGTCCATCAAAAATATGACAAATTGTGGAATTTTAAGCTATTTGGAGGTGCAATCTGTTGATTTTTGCTGAAGAAGTGCACGTGTTACATATGGATGACTGATTCTGACAACCATGATTTTCACTGTAAATCATGGTTGTCAAAATAAGAAGCCAACACTCAGATACTAATCAGTGCAAAAATAAATAAATAAGTAAATAAAAAATCTTGGCTTATTTTCTTGGCTTACTTATTTGCAGCAGTAACACACCAACAGTGCCATCTTCACCTCTTCCAGTTGACACAATTTCACACAGCATCTGCGGACAGGACGCACGAAGCCCCTCCCCTCACTAGCAGCTGAAGTAGTCACCATTCACAACACTGAAGGACACTTTGAGGAGGTCAGTGGAGCTCATGTTTCAACAAGATTAAAGTATTAAACAGTTATTAACCAGACCGGTACAAATGTTAATGTTAGCCATTTAACTATTAGCGATTATCCTGCAGCCACATTAGTTGTCATTTATTAATGTGCCAGCCAGTGGCTCATTAATAAGATGATAACATTAATCTTGGAGCTAGGATTCAAATACTATTGTTCATGCCTATCTGTAATTAATATACTGTAGAGCATGGAATTTTCTCATGAATTGTCTCCCAGTTTAAAATGAGAATCTAAAAATACCAGTGTGATACTGAATGTCATTCAGCTGGACAAAACTCACCTGTATACTGTACAATAAGCAATCAGTATCAGCAAGAAGAACAAAGCTTATTTTTATTAAAGCACTGAAAAACAATTAGAGGCATTTTTCAGTTCGGTGAAACAATAACTAGATCGACTACTGCTTGCAGACACACAATAGACTTGTTTTGTCCCATGATACAGCTCTGACAGTTGTACTTAAAAAGCTTTCAGAATGAGACAAAGCAATTGTGGGGGGGAAAAAAATCCTATGAGGTGATTCTTGGTGCCTGATTGTCCTCTACACATGCCCTTGGGAACTGTGACCAAAGGCCACCTTTGTTTCATCAAACCTGCGGCTTTGGCTTTTCATGGTCTGAGAGCTGTTCAGATGTCTTTTAGTTAACTCCCTGGGGGCTGTTATGCGCCTTTTAGTGAAGAATGGGTTTTCTGCCAACTCTAACAAAAAGGCCTGATGGTTGAAGTGATGCACTGAAGGTTGTACTTCTGTAAGGTTCTCCTGTCTCCACAAAGGAGCTCCAAATCTCACTGGATTCATCGGTAGTTCCAAAGTCTAAAATCTGACCTGTACTTTTGGGTGCTTTTAATGCTGCATAAATTTCCACGTGTCCATGTGTAAAGGCACACATATAATGATATGTGTGCCTTTACACAATCCTGTCTGATAGTACAATTCTACTAACCTGTTATATATCATGCACCTCAATAAAATAAATAAATAAATAAATAAATAATAAACTAGGAAAACACACAAAAGACTTATTATTACACTATTTTAAAGGTAAGTGAATATTTTATTTGGAGGCAATGAAGTGTCTTCAGTACAGGGGTATGGTTCAATTTCCACAAAGCTGTAATCACAAACAAGCCACAATTCATTATCATGTGCAAGCAACTTTATATTTCTCTGTCATTCAAGTCCAGTTGTAACACTTGATGTGTTACAGTTTATGAAACATTCCTTTATCTTCGGGTGACCGTGGCTCATGGGGTTGGGAAGCGCATCTGTAACCAGAAGGTCGCCGGTTTCATTCCCGGGCTCTCTGTCCTGGTCGTTGTATCCTTGGGCAAGACATTTTACCCTACTGCCTACTGGTGTTGGCCAGAGGGGCCGATGGCGCGATATGGCAGCCTCGCTTCTGTCAGTCTGCCCCAGGGCAGCTGTGGCTACAACCGTAGCTTGCCTCCACCAGTGTGTGAATGCGAGAGTGAATGAATAGTGGCATTGGGTTCCTTGAAAAGCGCTATATAAATTCAATCCATTATTATTATTATAATTATCTATTAAACTGATTTAGAGAGTTTGTGCTATAAGCAAAATTGCAGCTTGCCAAAAAATCATGCTGTAGGAAATATGACTGAACCCCAGATGGTTCTGGGATATGAAAGTCTGTTTACTCTGATGTGTGCTTTGCATTCATCTTCGGTTGACTACAATATTACTAAAATATTATCTTGCCTTCAGATTTGTCATAGTCACAAAATAAACACATCCACCGCAAAGCGCATCCTATTTTCCAATACCCTCAGCAGTGTTTTTACCCCCACATACCTGTCTAGATTAATGTTTATGTCATCCTCCACTTTCTAAGCTCCATTTTCACTTCCTCTTTCCTCCTCACTCACACACTAATTGGTTCTACAACCTTTCAAGCTGCCACTTCTGCTGACAGAAATCTACTTCAAATCCCCATCTGGATCTAACTCGCTTTATTTCTTCAGCTAATTTAAAGCCAACAATTATTGTCCTGTCCTTTAATTGTTTTGGTAGGTTGTTTTTGTTTTTTCTTTGTTGCAGGGTTATGACCGTCATCAGTCAGTGTTACCCCCTTGCTTACGGCCAAAGGCAAAGCTGCATATCTGGTTCGGTGTTACTTTCAAATGGAGGTTTTGTGTGGAAACTGCTACTGTTTCTACTGTTGTTTTCTTTTCTGCATGTTTGCTGATTTTATGTAACATTACTTACAGGAAAAATTACTTTTAAATTTAAAATAACTTTAAGTGTGTGATCTATAATTCAATATTTTACTTTAACATTGTTTTGATGAACAGAATATTTAACGGGAATGTGAAAATGTGAATCTACTCTATGTTCAAGTGTTGCTGTGAAGTTACCTTCCTTAAAATAATACAACATAAAACCAAGTGGCATGCAGTTACTTTTGCAGATAGCCAAGCAGAGACTAACCACCCTCCCATCCACAATCACAAACAAAAACGTTTTTCTCTAATATTTAGCAATTCAAGATAAATTAGATCAGATTAAAACATACCATTTATGCTGGCTGTCTACACTGTTCATGGAGGTTTTCACCTTTCTGCAATCTAATCTTACATAAATGTTTTCCTATTATTTCCTATTAGCTAACAATGATAAGCGGTTGATGAATTTTTCAAACTATTCCATTAGGATAAAAGGCAATGAAACACCATGAAAACATTTAGTACATATG